TGCGTGTGTGTGTGTGTGTGTGTGTGTGTGTGTGTGTGTGTGTGTTTGTGTATGTGTGTGCGTGTGTACTGCCATTTGAGAGAAACAGAGAGACCCCATGGCATACTGTTCTCTCCAACAATAAACCCCGACAAAGAAACGTATTATCCCAAAGACCCCCCCAAAAAACCCCAAACAAACAAACAACAACCCCAAAACAAAAAAAACAAACAAAAAAACAAAAAACAACAACAAATAAATAAATTTAAAAAAATAACAAGTTGCACGAGAATATAAAGAAGACAAAACAAACAACCAACCAAATAAATATACAAACAAACAAACACAAACAAACAAACACACAAACAAACAAACAAACAGACAAACAAAATAACAAAAAAGCAGAAAAAATCCCAAGTAAATGGCTTTCTACAATCACTGCTTTCTGATATCCCAGAGTGAATCGATATAAGCCAACTTGCGAATTGACGCAAATGCTATTGACAGAGTTGATTTATATTCTAAACAGATCGACAGCCGCTCATCAACAACACATCAACAAGAAATAACGAAAAACAAAACCAAAAAAATCCCATCTATACGAACGAACCTAAAGAAAACAAAACAAACCCGTCAGCTGTAGCTATATAACTCAGCTAAATGTGAGGCAGCGTGGTGGAATCAGGCTCTCGTCAAAATAATCAAAGTGAAGAAATTTTTCCACAGGTTTGTGAACTTTTATCAAATTTTTGTTTTTTTGGCTCGACACCTTTCGAGCCCATTAAAGAACTAATTTCTGTGTAGAATTTTCTGAAAAACGTTGATTAAAGGCACAAAAAATGTAAATTATCCGTTCCCACGGACTCTTAAGGTATGGAAATAACTAATCTTTGGCGGCCATTTTCTCAATAATTTTACCCCTGAAAACAGGTGACACCTACCCCCTTCATTCGCAAATATCTCGACTTGTATTCAAGATAAATGGATATATTTTACATCCTAATAAACACAAGTGAACAAACTTTACAAAGATGCCAATAACTCTACATGCTCGAAAATTGACGAGAGCCTGATTCCTCCACGATGTCTCACAAATAACTCAGCCATTTACTAATGTTTTGGCATTCTTTGGGCATTTTGACATCTTCAGTGGTCGTTATGGCAGTATTGAGCGATTTATAAGCCAGAAAATATTTACTTAATCTTTTTAACTCTCTTTGGCCCGACAGGCAGGATCGAATGTAACATTCGACTCGATTCAGCTTTTAATAAATTCTAACGGACAAATGGTGCACTTAAGAGACCGACGAATATGTTAATAAAACTAAAATTAGCCTTGCATTTTTTAAAAGGTGTTTTACGACTTATCGTTATCGACACCAGTACAAAATTTAGGAGGCGGGCTTCCACCTTGCCTTTCAGGGAAAACCCAGACTGAAGTAGTGAAAGGGGTACAAAATCCCAACAGAAAGACAGATAGATTTCTCCCCACATAGGAATCGAATTCGGGTCTTCTGCATTCGACAGTGAAGCGCATTTACCGCTACACCATTGCACAAGTAAATGATACAGCTTTGTTTTATGAGAAAACTCACTACCATTTTTGAAAAAGTAGGTGTAAATGACGAAGATACTATGTGAAGAGACATGATGCAGGCTTGCTATAATGCTATTTGAAAAAAAAGAGGACACCCCCCCTGTGCCTATAAAATTAAAGTAATAATACAGAAATTCTACCAGTATCCCATGCATGAGTCTAGATGTTGATACATTCAACCCCATTTCTCGCTTTTATGACAGGGCCCTCGCCTGTTTATCTTCAATGGTTCAAAGAAAAATATGATAGTAGAAAAAAACCCAACTTTTATTTCGTAGATGACATAATTAAAGCAGTAGTTCCCACATCTGTCGCTTTTATCTTCGCAAGTTATTACTTTAAGTAGAGTGTGGCTCATTGCTAAAGTTGCAAGCGTTTTCTCTTAGCGTCTTATTTTATCGATCAAGCGAAGCGTTTTCCTACTGAACAAGTCTTGTCTGTGGGTGGTTGGCGGGTGCTCTGGTGTGGTTTGCTCCTGTTTCCTATCAAACGTCTGTCGTCCTTATCTCCCCTTGTGTTTGTTACTTTCTTGTAACACCTCAAATCTTCGGGCGCTCATATGACCTTATGCAGCTGCGAGTGCCATAAAACTCTTACTAAAACTAAAAGTCTTGTCTAGAGGATTGGGCCGAGTTGGGTTGGGAGGTTGGATAAGCCATAACAGATTGACATTGATTGTATGTTTTCCACATCCAGCTACGCAACACAATTCAAAATAATCAGTAAGGAGTCAAGTTTAAAGTAGGCTTCTTCACTAAAGAATTGAACTCGCGTCTTTTCGTGCGATGGTGAATTACCCCTATCACTACACCTCATATTCCAATGTGCACTTACAAAATATAAGTTGGCCTTTGTAGCTCCTGACTTATGAACCAATGTTCGGCCGAATGAGTCGAGGGCCATCGTTGCAAGTACCTGGTCATTCTTAGTGTCTTTAAATACTATTAACAATTCCGGTGTACACAAAGCTCCGCAGACAATTTTGTCACATTTCTATTCATTGAGGAAGGAAAAAACCTCAATTTTTTAAAGTAACAGTTACCCATCCGCATGTCTCTTTCAAGCGTTTTTCTTTTGCTTTTATTTCTTTCTGTCTGTCTGTTTGTCTATCAGTTTTTCGGTGGTTACATTTGGAGTTCTTAAATAAACTAACAGTGTTTAAAGGGTCGTTGATCATCCCCATTCTCTTTTTCTTTTTCATTTTCTTTTGGTCGTTTCCTCTTTTCTCATCACCCCACATACCTGCATGTACGCATGAGCACACACACACACACACACACACACACACACACACACACACACACGCACACACACACACACACACACACACACACACACACACGCACACACACACACACACACTCGCGCACACACACGCACATTATATATATATATATATATATATTTATAAAAGCACAAACACCAACACACATAGGCAGAGTACCCATGTAAGGTTCTAAATAATCATTTTCAACCGTGCATACACATTATAATCATACAATATTATGCCCAGCCACGAATACACATTCGACATAAAGACTAAATTCTTATGCAACTTTTAACACGCAAATTCGTTCAGTCTAGTTCTTCAAATCGATATCCATTTTTCCATAACCCGTTCTAGAAGAAGAAAAGAAACGAATCTTTCTTCATCAAACATCACTTTTTACTGTAGACCATGCAATAATACTCGGCAACACGCTGCAGTGAGCAGCTTAAGAAATCGAAAACTATTTTTCAGCATCATCGGGACTCTGTGTTTGTATAATCGATATGTCAGAACCGATTGATTTCAAGTAGGATGACAAATGGTGTACTGGGTGTGGTCCTGTTTAGCGCGGGGGTTTCCACTCATGACGTATGCTGTCATCGCGTGTTCACAAACGAAGGTCTAGGACAAAAGCCTTTACGCATACTTACCCTCAATAAATTTGAGCTGAAATGCAAACACATGTACTTAATATCATCGTCCGCAATGCCCCTTTATTTTTGCAGCCGGAATTTATATGGGAGGATTAAAAAAAAAGAATTTGTTGTCGATTCAGCTCATATCGTAATGGTAATGGCGGGTCTTACGATTGTCACAAGGAGTGTTTGCTCTCTCTTTGCTTTCACCCAAAGATTTTTACCCCCCCCCCAAAAGAAAGAACAAAAAACCGCCCCAAACCCCAACAAGCAAACTCCTCAGTGTTGCATTTCTTTTAACAGCTGGGATATTTCAATGATATTATTTCTAACTGATGTGATACTTAAGTCTATTTCAGCTCTTCAGCGAGTTATTGAGTTCTTTTGAGGGTTTAGAACGACACTTGAGTGGGACGGCTTATTGACAACGGTTTATCTATCTATCTATCTATCTATCTATCTATCTATCTATCTATCTATCTATCTATCTGTCTATCTATCTATCTATCTACTTGTATGTATATTCATATCAATGTGTAAAAGTTGTGACGGACAGCTAAAAGTGCTGAGTGTTAGTGAAGTACCAGTTCAGTACCACGTCTACATTGTTAGATTATTCAATTCGCTGGAACTTCGAACTCAAAGTACACAAACACACGAATAGACACACACACACACACACACACACACACACACACACACACACACATACACAGACACACACTCAAACACACAGACATACTCAGAGACACACAGGCATACACACACATGCACACACACACACACACACACACACACACACATACGTACACGCACGCACACACACACACACACACACACACACACACACACACACACACATACACAGACACACACTCAAACACACAGACATACTCAGAGACACACAGGCATACACACACATGCACACACACACACACACACACACACACACACATACGTACACGCACGCACACACACACACACACACACACACACACACACACACACACACATACGCACACGCACACACACTCACATACACACACACACATACACACATACGCACATACACACATCTCCAAATAAAATACAGTAAAATGGTAGGAGAGCCGTCAAAACTAGAAACAAATTCCAAACTTCCAATACAATAGCAATATGCCTTTCCGAGTTAGCAGTAGCAACAGCATTTGAAGTGCGCCGTTTTATTCCGAGAATTCTTCTGTCCTTTTTGAATATAAACTGGCACTCCAATTTTTCTTCACTTGCCTTCTGTCAAAACACAGCAACTTAATTATTTCGTTCTATAATTTCTTATGTCTCTTTGATAATGAATTATTTTATTTTCTTGTCTATTTGATATCTGGGTGCTTGGCGGGTTCTCTGGTGTGATTTGCTCCTTCCTTCCTATCCAACATCTATCGTCCTTATCCCCCCTCCTTCATTTTGTTTGTTTGTTACTCTCTTGTAACACCGCTAATCTTCAGCACTTATATGACACATTGTGTTGCAAGTGCTGTAAAACTCTTACTTAAACTAAACTATTTGATATATGTATTCATTTCATTTTCATGTCTAAATTACTTTCAAGTTTATTTGAAATTTAATTGTGCTATTTTCATGTATATTTGGCATTTTAAATTGTTATTTTAATGTACATGTTTATTTTTACATTTATTTATTTATTTTCATGTATATCTAACATTTATTTATTATATTTTCACGTCTATTTTTATGTTCATTTATTTTATTTTCACGTGTATCTGACTTAAAAAATAATTATTAATTATTTTTTTAATGTGTATTTGCTACTTATTTATTTCCATTTCATGTCTATTTGATATTTATTTATTTGATTTTCAGTGTGCGATTGTGAGCCCAGCGGGACAAACCCTGCAGCTCTGACCACATGTGACGTCCTCACTGGCCAGTGCTCGTGCAAGGACAGGGTCATAGCCAGAAACTGCAGCGAATGTATCTCAGGTTACTGGGGGCTCACGGCGGACAATGCCCTCGGCTGCAATGGTAAGGCCAGTTTGTATGTGTGTGTGTGTGTGTGTGTGTGTGTGTGTGTTTGTGTGTGTGTGTGTGTGTGTGTGTGTGTGTGTGTGTGTGTGTGTGTGTGTGTCTGACTATATTTCTGCTTGTCGTTATCTTCTGTCAGTCTGTCTGTCGTGTCTGTCTGTCTGTCTGTTAGTCTGTTATTCTGTCTGTCTGTCTGTCTGTCAGTCTGTCTGTCTGTCTGTCTGTCTGTCTGTCTGTCTGTCTGTCTGTCTGTCTGTCTCTCTAGTGCCCTTGCTTTACCATACTTTACCTTTACTGGTTATTTTTTAATGAAGTGGAAAGAAGTAGAAAGAAAGAGGGGTTGAAGAGAAGATAGCGAGGGTGTCATGGACTTATTCAAAATTTTGTAATACAGAAAAAGAGGTTCATCATCATCATCATCATCATCATCATCATCATCATCATCATCATCATCATCATCATCATCATCATCATCATCATCATCATCATCAGCAGCAGCAGCAGCAGCAGCAGCACCACCACCACCACCACCACCACCATCACTACCACCACCATCACCACCACCACCACCAGCAGCAACAGTAGCAGCAGCAGCAGCGGAAACACAACCTGTTTAACAACCATCAACTCACCACTACCGCCGCCGAAACCATAACCACTTCCATCATCATTACCACCATCTACACCTCCACCATCATCATCATGGTTATCACCACCACTACCATCACCACTAACCCCAATTGTTGTCGTCTTTTTAGAACCTGTAAAATGGCAGCTTGCACTTTAACTATAATAATATGCTTTCCAGAAAGTTATTTCAGATTGCTGTCTGTCCATCTGGGGTATTATCGATTGTAAAGGACTAAGAATTTGCTGTTGAGCGAGAATTGGCGCTATACAAATTTTAATTATTATTTATTATATACATGCAATACCATTACTGTTCCCACTATCAACAACAACAACAACAACCTCATTGTTACCATTATCGTTACCACCACCACCACCACGACTACCACCACCACTAGCATCATCACCACCACCACCACCACCACCACTAGCATCACCACCACCACCACCACCATAAACCTCATCCAGGTGACTTGCTTCTCCTCCCCAGAGTGCGCGTGTAACCCCCAGGGTACCAAAGGGAACACCAACATGTGCGACAAAACAGACGGCAGCTGTGAGTGCAAGGTCAACGTCGCTGGAGACTTGTGTGAGCAGTGCAAGGTCAGTTGTTCTCACAACGTGAAAACGAAATTAATATAATATACATGAGTATTTTGTTTTCGTTTTGTTTTGGTAAGTGTTTTACGGCGCTCGCAACTGCATACGGTCATATCATGATCGTACGGGACACATTTAACATTTTCAGTTTGGTAGGAAATTCTGAATTTTGCGCGGGTGGCGGCCGAAGCCTTCTCTTATCGATTTTAGGACCACAAAGGGATCTTTGATGTTCGCAACTTGCACACTGAACCTTAACTACCATAAGATCAAGGGTGCGGCTAAAAGACAGCACTAAGAAGGAGCCGGGGGGGGGGGCAGAAAGTTGAGACGAAAGCAGAAAACAGAACATGGTTAGAGAGCTGGAAAGGATGTGAAAGAAGAAAATTTTGGAGAAAAATTTTTTCCGTCGCCGTCAGGTTTAGAACCTGGGACCTATTGAATGAAAGGCGAACACCATAACTCCTCAGCCACGAGAGCCCCTAAACTAAATAAATACAGTTGAATCTAATTACCATAATCTGCATAAGACAATCACTTGTACAATTGTCCACTTCCTATTTTCTCCCTTGCGTACTTTTCACACTATACTGACTCTTGTGTAAGTCGACCACCTGTCTAATACGGCCACTCTTCTCCTCGTACATAGATTTCCATCTTCGACAGTTGCGACTGTGTAGTCAAAACTGTTTTAGCAGCTATCTATACAAGACGATCAACTGCACAAACGAGCACTTTCTTGCTCGCCCCATGCGTTTTAAAAAGTCTATATATCATGCTGGCATAGTCTAAGAGGACACCTGCCTAAGGGGATCTATTTCCTCGACGTTGGGCAGTCGTCCTTCACAGTTCCGACTGTATATTAAAGCATCATATACTGTGCCCCTTATATCTTGACTGGAGTATGATAATGATTGTAAATGTTGTTATGATCATAGTTATGATTATGATTGTCACTGTCTTTGTCAGTATGATTATAGTTATGATAATGATTGTCATTGCTATGATTATGAACATGATTATGGTTGTCATTATTGTATTGCTATATCATTTATGATTAATATGGCTGTCTATGTTGTGCAATCATAATTATATTCAAATGGTGAAATGGTATGAGTTTAACGTCCCTATCAACAGTATTAGGTTATTTAAAAGGCGGGACCTCCTAGTTTAACGCCCGTCTCCGATAGGACCGAGCCAAGTGGGAAGCTGAGGCTCGAACCATGATTATAATCATTCATTGTACCTTTTAGTATGATTATAGTTACACTTATCCTTTCTATATTCCAAATCGCAGCCTAATACGTTTAACTTCGACCCCAACAACCCGGAAGGATGCACTGAGTGCGAGTGTGACCCGGGAGCGTCCGTTTCCGAAACTTGTGAGCTAGTCGGTGGTCAGTGTACGTGTCGCTCAGCCCAGCTGAACGGAAGGGAATGCAACACCCCAGTAACAGGCTACTATGTGCCTAAGTTGGACTTCGCAGTGTTCGAACCTGAAACGGCGGCAAATGGGGTATGTTGATACTGACTTGTTTTTGTTTTTGTTTTTGTTGTTGTAAAGTGTTTTACGGCGCTCGCAACTGCATAAGGTCATATGAGCGCGCGGGATACACCTAATATTTTCAGTTGGTAGGAAATTTTGAATTTTGCCCGGGTGGCGGCCAAAGCCTATTCTTATCGATTTTAGACCACCAAGGGATCTTTAACGTTCGAACCCGGGACCTTTGAATGAGAGGCCAACACCTTAACCTCTAGGCCACGAGAGCCCCCCCCCCCCTGACTTGTTTGGCAAAATTTCTCATGACTGTAGCTTTTGTTTTTGTTGCAGCAGTTGTTTTATCTTGTTATGGTCAGTTATGTTGTTGAAGATTCAGTGAGAGAGAGAGAGAGAGAGAGAGAGAGAGAGAGAGAGAGAGAGAGAGAGAGAGAGAGAGAGAGAGAGAGAGAGAGAGAGAGAGAGAGAGAGAGAGAGAGAGAGAGAGAGAGATATCAATGAAGAGAATAAGAGGGAGAAACAGAGTGAGTGAAAAAGAGAAAGTGAGAAAGTTAGAGCTAGAGAGACAAAGAAAGAATGAAAAAAGAAAGATACACTGAAGTTTATGTCATTCATTTATGTTTTGTATAAGAGTTTTACGGCTTATTCAACAGAATGAAGTCATGTCAGTGACGAAGATTAGAAGTGTTACAAAAGAGTTACAAACACAATTGAAAAAGGACAAGAGATAAGGACAATATAATGTCGATATAATAACATAATATTATGTTTGATAGCGAAGAAGGAGCAAACCACACCAGAACATCCGCCAACCACCCAGTGTTAATTCTTAAAGGGCCGTATTATAAAGGCACAGATTTCTGTTCAATAAGCCATACTGTCGTACATTTCCCCGAACCTACGACTGTTCACACATCACACATTTGAAAAACAAATTTGCATATTTCGTTGATAGCATAACTGTGTCGTTGCCTGCCTTTTCGAGTTTCTAACTAAACAAAAAAAAAATAGAATGGAAACATGTGTATAAATAACAAAATTGTGCTTGTTTTTTAAAAGTGTCCCAAACATCTGGTCTTCAAGCTTTGTTGACTGACTAGAAAGAGCGTATTTAATGAGTAAAACAATGACAATTTAACTCCCAAATTATGCGCCTTTGTTGATAAAAATATATTGACCACACCCTAAACTTTCCTTCTTGGTTGCTTTCTTTCTTCTTTCTGTCTGTCTGTCTGTCTGTCTGTCTGTCTGTCTGTCTGTCTGTCTGTCTGTCTGTCTGTCTGTCTTTCTTTCTTTCTTTCTTTCTTTCTTTCTTTCTTTCTTTCTTTCTTTCTTTCTTTCTTTCTTTCTTTCCATCCTTCTGCCAGAACTTCTCTCTTTCTTATTCGCTTATTTGTATTCCCCTTTCTTTCTTTTTCTTTTTATATTTGTTTCTTTGCTTATCTCTTTCTTACGTTCTATCGAACTTTTTTTTCTTGCTTTTCTTTCTTTCTTTCTTTTTTTTTTCTTTCCCATTCTTTCTACTCCTCTCTCTCTCTGCTCACAGAATAATATCGTCCTTCGACCTGGAGACGGTGACCTTGGTGCGACTGTCAGTGGGCGTGGCCTCGTTACGTTGTCACCTGCCAATCAAGTTACCATGGATTTTACCTTCAGCCTTCCCTTCACGGGACTGGTGGACGTCGTTGTGAGATTCGAGGTAAGAAGTGCCTAGTTTAGAAGAAGAAAAACACCCAAAACACCCTCCCCTACAAAAAAAAACAAAAAAAAAAAGCCCAACAAACAAACAAAAAAACAATAGCAACAACAATATCAACACCCACCCCGCCTAAAAAAGCAACAACCAAACGACAGTAAAAAAAACAACAACAACGAAAACAAAAACAACAAAAACAACAACCCCAAAACAGAGACAAAACACAAAATAACAAAAAAAAAACAAAACGAGAACTAATATCCAAACAAAAAACAACAGCAGCAGCAACAACAACAACAATAATAACAACAGCAACTGCTACTACTACTACTACTACTACTACCACTACCACTACCACTACCACTACCACTACCACTACTACCACTACCACTACCACTACCACTACCACTACCACTACTACCACTACTACTACTACTACTACTACTACTACTACTACTACTACTACTACTACTACTACTACTACTAGAACAATAACATAACAACAGTAACAATAACAACTCCCATCCCAGAAAAATAACACTGCATTGATTTGAGTACAGTTGCGAAGACGAAGGGTTTGGCGTATTTTATATTCTAGTTTACAATTGAGTACTTAGGCACACGGTATGGACACAAAAGAGCCGAGTTCGATCCTCTTGTTGGTAAGATATTTCGGTAAAAGTAAAGTATTGCCCTATTAAAATAGCTGTGGAGGTTTTACGCCCCCACGATACTTACGTACATCATGTGTAAGTGATGTGTAAGCGTGCGCGTGTGATAAGCAAGTAGATGTGTGTGTGTGTGTGTGTGTGTGTGTGTGTGTGTGTGTGTGTGTTTGTGTGTGTGTATGTG